TAGAGTGAACGTCTGTCGTCTGGGCGGTGACAAAACCCTCCATTAATATGGAGGAAGAGAGCAAGGGAGAAAAGGGAGAAGGATAGAACAAGAAACAGACGAGAGAGCGAGATAGAGAGAAAGAATATGTGAACAATGAGGAAACATGTGACAGAAGAGGGCGGCCACTTGTCGTCTTAGCCTTGACTTATACCAAGTCATATCTCACCAAGATTAATTTTAGTAATCCACTCCCACACCTGAAGACTTCTTACAAGCCTGGAGTTAAGCCGCGTCGAAGTTGCACCTAAGAGTTTGTCGCACGAGCCACGCTACGGAGACCATGTGTAATATATCTGCCACAGTTTATGCCGGAGTAACTCTCAACTACGACCTTCTGTAAAGATGCAGTTGATGAATTGAGGTGTACGTGAGTCTAGGGGGTCGTACACAATAGAGGGTGATGTAGAGACTGCAGGTATTTACGCAGATGTTTTAAGATTTAGTAATGTATGGAATAGTCAGGAAATACGGTCCCATGTTGTTGTTGTTGTTTTTTATCTTTAGACGTAAAATTTGCATAGGAAGAGGGATCCCCCATTAATTCCCGGAGCTTGTAAAGGTGTGCACTGAGAAAGTATCGCTGTGAATAATGAGTCAGCTCAGATTGGCACATATTTTATGTCCAGTGGTATTTTCGAGGCTTGAACGTGGTACGAGCGTCCCTTTGGCGAGACCAATAATTTACTGACAGTAAAATAGATGAAAGTGAAACGAAGAATAGTGGAAAAACTATTACCCTGTAAGATTAACAGAATCTATGCTGGAAATGAGAACAATTATCTGTACAGCAAAGACATTCCTCTAAGGGGTGACAGACTGCTTTACTTCGTTGTCATTACTTTTAAATATACTTTGTCCTCACGTCTCCCCAAACACTTTCCATCACCTTAATGTCATCATATGAGTGCTGTATGAATTAACCTCAGGTGTTTAAAAATTGTCTCTGATAGCTTGTGTTTTTAAATAGCTCACTAGTTCATCCTTAATTCTGCACTCCATGGTTTAACCCTCGATGGATGATAAAATAATCAGTATATGAGTACCTGGGACTGGACTATACCATTACTTTCTTCCCTGGTGTGTGGACAACTGGACATCATTTTTATCTAGTTAAGATGACTTTAATGAGTCTGTTTGTTCCTACTCTTAACATCTTGACAAATCTCCATTGAGTTTTCATATTGTCTTCTATTCTTCTTCTTCATCTTCTTTCTGGTAGCGTTTCTATTTATTTAATGTTTTTATTATTCTTTGTTCTTCTATGGCCCCACTGTCTTGTAAGTTCTTTGGTTCCACTGTCTTGTATAACCTATGGCCCCACTGTCTTATATAACCTATGGTCCCACTGTCTTGTATAACCTATGGCCCCACTGTCTTGTATATCCTATGGCCCCCATCACTTTGTATAACCTATGTAGTCCCACTGTCTTGTATATCCATGCTCCTCACTCTCTCTTGTATATCCTAGTGGTCCCACTTGTCTTGTATATCCTATGGCCCCACTGTCTTGTATAACCTATGGCCCCATCTTTGTTCCAGGTATATCCCATGGCCCCAATTGTCTTGTATAACCTATGGTCCCACTCTCTCTTGTATATCCTATGGCCCCACCTCGTCTTGCAGTATATCCTATACCCTCACTCTCTTGTAGATATCCTATGGCCCACTGGTTCAGTATCCTATGTTCCCACTGTCTTGTATATCCCATGGTCTCCACTGTCTTGTATAACCCAGGTCCCACTGTCTTGTATATCCTATGGTCCCACTCTCTCTTTGAAAATCCCATGGCCCCACTGTCTTAGGGGGAGCAACCTGTGGGTCCCACTGTCTCATAACCTATGGTCCCACTCTCTTGTATAAATCCCTCATGGTCCCAATTTCTTGTATATGCAACCCAGGCCCCACTGTCTTGTATAACCTATGGTCCCACTTTCTTGTATAACCTGGTGGTCCCACTGTTCTTGTGTATAAACCTATGGTCCCACTGTCTTATATCCTATATTCCCCACTGGTCTTGTATGCAACCTATGGTCCCACTCTCTTGTATAACCTATGGTCCCACTGTCTTGTATAACCTATGGCCCCACTGTCTTATATAACCTATGGTCCCACTCTCTTGTATAACCTATGGCCCCACTCTCTTGTATAACCTATGGCCCCACTCTCTTGTATAACCTATGGTCCCACTCTCTTGTATAACCTATGGCCCCACTGTCTTGTATATCCTATGGTCCCACTGTCTTGTATAACCTATGGTCCCACTCTCTTGTATATCCTATGGCCCCACTGTCTTGTATAACCTATGGTCCCACTCTCTTGTATAACCTATGGTCCCACTGTCTTGTATAACCTATGGCCCCAATTGTCTTGTATAACCCATGGTCCCACCTCTCTGTATATCCTATGGTCCCAATTTCTGTATATAACCCTATGGTCCCACTGTTCTGTATAACCTATGGCCCCACTCTCTGTATAACCTATGGCCCCACTGTCTTGTATAACCTATGGTCCCACTTCTCTTGTGGCAACCTATGGCCTCACTGTCTTGTATATCCTATGGCCCCACTCTCTCTTGTATATATCCTATGGCCCCACTCTCTGTATATATCCTATGGCCCCCACTCTCTTATATATCCCATGGCCCCACTTCTCTTGTATAACCCATGGTCCCACTCTTGTATAACCCATGGCCCCACTGTCTTGTGGCAACCTATGGGCCCCACTGTCTTGTAAGTAACCCATGGCCCCACTCCTCTCAGTATAACCCATGGTCCCACTGTTCTAAGCAACCTATACTCTTGTATATCCTATGGCCCCACTGTCTTGTATAACCTATGGTCCCACTGTCTTGTATAACCTATGGCCCCACTGTCTTGTATAACCTATGGCCCCACTCTCTTGTATAACCTATGGCCCCACTCTCTTGTATAACCTATGGTCCCACTCTCTTGTATATCCTATGGCCCCAGTTTCTCTGTATTATTTTGGTGTTTACTTCCCTATCCCACCGCTTGTATTATCCCGTTATACTGTGTCATTTCTTCTCTATCCCCACATGTTATATGATACCACATGATATTTTACTGTTCACTTATAAACGCAGAATTTGGATGTTTTGATAATCTATAAAATTCGGCCGTGAAATATTGTTATTGTGCATTGTGTTTGTGTTGATTTATGGTGATTGATATAACATGATCGATGATTGATGATAGTGATGTATAATGATGGATGTTGGTTAATGATTATGAGTGATGATGATGATGATGATGAAGATGATGATGATGATGATGATGATGATTTTTTTGTTTTTACGGGGAATAGCCCACCCAGACAGGTCAACGACCCACAACTGGCTACAAATGAAAATGAGTAAAAAAAAGAACAAATAGAAGAGGATAAAGACTATGTTAATCTACACCACGAAGATGACGAGAAACCAAAAGAAGGCAAAGCATTCCATAGTATGGGCCTGCGGACAAGACGGAAACATGAGCCCACTGCCCTGCCGACGGTATACAAGATAAATTAATGAAACTGATAATACTGATTGGTGATGGTGATGATGAAACTGATGGGAGTGAATGGTGATAGACGAATAATGCTCTTAAAATGCTTGAAAAACGATAATAATAAGTGTTAATATCTGAAAAACTGGGTGTACATTTACTATTGGCTTATACACCACACCATAAGATACCATGTGCACGGGAACCTCTGTTATGACTTAAAATATGAACAAAAACACTTCGAAAACCATGAGTACCTGAGAATAGGTTATTGAGTGAGTAAAACAATACTTAAAGAGGAAAATATCCCTCAAGAGCGAAAAAAAAAAATTCTACCAGTTAGGTCAGGAAAGGTAACACAAAGCATACACCTCTGTTATAATGTCTTAACATTTAAGTATATACGTTACCACATTTGATAAACCTGGTATGAAAAAGACAATATGTCCAGGTTACATTAGACATATTATTGCTGATTAAAAATGCTGTCACAATACTGCCATTGTCTTTAGCATTTGTACATCACTAAATAAACCAGCGCAAAGTAGCATAATTTCACTTGCAAAATAACTATTCAGTATTTTCATGTATAAAGGACATTCTCTGCAACACCTATTCTTCAAACACCTTTATATTGTTTCCGTATGTTTATCTGTTGGATCAATTACTTTGTCTATCTGTCTTTCTGAATGTATATGGGAGTGAGTTTGTGTTATATAAGTCTGTATGTATAGCAATACCTTATACACATACCTGTTGTGTCGGACGGGTGTGTGATGGTGGCATACGTTAAACAGAGAGTAAGCCAACACTTTCTTCCCCCATAAAGCCTGGGTTAAGTAGACTAGATGGCCTTACGAGTTTTAAGCCTCCAAGCCCCTTCTTAGTTGTGGCCGAGGGAGGGAGCACACACACACTCTCTCTCTCTCTCTCTCTCTTTGTGTCTACGCCAACCTGAATGTGTCACCTTTTATTCTATGCACCTTTTGTTTTTGTTTTTCTGGTTGTTCGCATGTCTCTCTTTTGTGTCTGTTTTCCTTCTCTCTGACTCCTCTCCTTTTCCTGCCTCTAATTTAGCCCTTATCTTTTTTCCTTCCTTTTCTTTATTTTTCTCTCTCTTCCTCCCTCTACCTTAATATTTCCATCCCTCCCTCCCTCCCTCCCTCTTCTTCCATCTGCTTTAGTCCTTACCTTTCTTCCTCCCTTTTCCTTAATCCCTCCCTCCCTCTACCTCAATGTTTCCCCCCCCCCCTCTACCTCACAATTTCTCTCTCTCTCTTTCCCTCCCTCCTCTCTGCCTCAAACATTCTCTTTCTCTTTCCATTCCTCCTTCTTCTGCCTCTGATTTGCCCTTCCTGCCTCCCTCTGCCTCATCCTTAATCTTTCCTCCCTCCTTCCTCAATCTCATTTTGACACGACAGAAAGAAAGTTACAAAAGCTTTGACTGACCTGTGTGTGGCGGGAGTCCTTCTTGTGAGAGTGTCTGGAGTGTGACACGAAGATGCGGTGGTCGCCCGTATACTGCGTCTCCCCCATGGCCAGAAGCTGCATGTCCTTCCGTCTGACCCATGACACACGCTGCGGGAGACCAGACAACGGGGCTCGTATTAAAATGGTGTCCTGTTTAATGTAAAGAATGGTGGTTAATTTTTATCTCCCTTACAGCTGAGATACAGTGGCCGTAATAAAAGGGTATCCGTGTTATAAAAGTAGTAAAATTATAAGACTTTTTCAAGGCAGATATAGTGGTCGTATTACAAGGGTATCCGGTGACTAAAAGGAGTAAATCTCCAGTGTTTGATACCCTAGATATAGTGGAGTTAGTTGTTATGTCCTTTTAAAGGTCGATTTTTTTTAGCCTTTGCGCTGCCCAGGTGTATAGCGGCCGTATAAGAAGGGTGTCTCAATTAAAAAGATGGATTAATTTCAAGTCCTTGATACCCTAGATACATCGGCCACATTACAAAGGTCTCCGGTTAATAGGAGGTAAAGTTTTAGGGCTTCACACTTACCTGCTGCCTTAATGAAACTGGTGGGTTGAAGGACAGGAAACCTCAACAACTTAGCGTAAATGCCTCAGAGTTTCGAGTTCATTTAACCTACGCTCTTGACATTGAGCTGAAGTTGGGTGAATATTCCCTTGATGAATATGCGTTTGAGTATGGACGTTTAAGTTTGGGATGATAAATATTTCGATAAATAATAAGTTACTGGTGTATGTGGTGGCAATGTTTGCATTCCTTATATTTTGTTTGAATTTGGAGGATATGAGTTGGCTGTTTTTATTTTTTAAGTCTTTTCTTAACATTTCCTCCACTGGTTTTACATTATTTTATCATTTACTATTTCCCCCTTTGTGAGAGTTTTGTTTCCCTAGTACGACGCCACGCAGAAGTGATAGAGGAATAGTGGTAATAAATACATCAATATGTTTTTCTATTTTTAATAATATAAGAAGAAATATATTATATGCCCAATTTACTTTTACCAAAATATCTATGGTGAAGTTCTTGATTTGGTGATTTTCATCTATTGAGTACATTTGTGTGTATGTAATAATAATAATAGTTATAATAATAATAATAATAATAATAATAATAATAATAATAATAATAATAATAATAATAATAATAATAATAATAATAATAATAATAATAATAATAATAATAATAATAATAATTAACGGTTTATTGAGAAAGTTCTGTAGCCCGAAGGCTGAAAATATATATTAGGCAAAAATTACTTATTACATGCAAGGACATGGGGTAGGTGGGTCGTTTAACAAAAGCTTTGCGTGTGTGTGTGCGTGTGTGTGTGTGTGTCAACATAAAACATCTCAATAAATGTCTTCCTTGCGCGCAAACATATGAATTTATAACATTTAATAAATTTAAGGTTGATAACCTAACATCTCGTGGAGGCCGTTGAGTTACGATTATTGAGTCTTATAAACACATTCCCTCAAAAGAGAAAAGAACTTTTAAGAAACTTGTTAAATAATCATACACATCAGTCAACATACACAGGGCTGTCTTGAACCTTGTACATAAATACTGGTTAATAGAAGTGACACCTGTAAAGATTTGAATAAGTTGACAGATAAAAGATTAACAGAAAATTCTTGGAATGAAAAGAATAAAACACGTTGTGACAGTGACAGGACGAGAACAAGAAAAAGACAGATGTTTAATTCAACACTTTCACGAATAGGAACACTCAGCACGAACAAGGGGAATCTCTTTTTCTTTCTCTCTCTTATATGTGAGAAATATTTTTACTGGCTATTAATTCATGGTTAAAAAATATTTGGTGTGTATATGTAATGTAGTAATTGTTTTAGTATGAAGGAGATAAAAACATGGTGCCTTAAACTCACCCTTAGAACCTTCAGTGTATTGATCACCAAATGTTAATTACGAACACGAGTTATCGTTACAGACACGGACAAAATGAGACGCAATTGGATAATAATTTTCATGTCGCATTTCATTACACGTTTGGAGTCAATGTTGTGGACAGATATTAATGGTGTTATTCCAACCAAGAATGATTTTTTTCAATATTTCCCAGAATTTCTCTGGTAATGGTGTTTGGCCAAGGCGCTTGAAGGATGGTGATTGATTTAATATTAAGCTAAAAATATAATGTAATACTTGGCTGAAGTCACGGCTCAATACTTGACGGATGTTTATGATCACTTCACATGTTTAGAGAGAAACTTCTTGGAGTCAATCGAAACGTCGTCACATGTTTACTTTGCTCAACACTTACATGTTTATAATATTATATTATATTATATTATATTATATTATAATATATTATATTATATTATATTATATTATATTAGATTATATTAGATTATATTAGATTATATTATATTATATTATATTATATTATATTATATTATATTATATTATATTATATTATATTATAATATATTATATTATATTATATATATTATATTATATTATATTATATTATATTATATTATATTATATTATATTATATTATATTATATTATATTATATTATATATTAATAATAATGAAAACAAAATCGGAATCAAAATATATAGCGTCAAATTTCCTAATGTATTGTCAACACGTCATGAATCAAATTAATATGAATGATTATGATTGACATTTGAATAATGCTAATATAACATCTAAGGGCAATTTTTTTTTCTAATACTCCTTCTAACACTCGAGAAAAAAGTCTGCATTCCCATAGTCACTAGATCAGGGGTTCTCAACCAGGGGGGAATTCCCCCCAGGGGGGGAATTCAGGTTTTCAGGGGGGGGGGAAACTGATTCGGGAGCAAGAGATATGTTCGATGAGAAATCAATCACAGAATTTTGGCCCTTGATGTGCGATTCCTACCCAAAAGTGGCAGAAAGAGTTATCCGTGCATTGCTTCCGTTTGTGTCGACATATCTTTGTGAGTCAGGCTTTTCAACTCTGTTGCAAATTAAAACGAAGCAACGTAGTAGATTAGAGGTAGAAAATGACCTGCGTTGTGCCCTTTCAAGCACTCCTCCGCGTATCCCAGAATTGGCGAAGAAAAAACAATCACAGGTTTCTCATTGACTGTGATCTTCATCTGAATAAAATTAATTACAAATTTACAATATCCTGGTATTCTATTGAACTTTTTGTTTATTGCATTATGCTTCAGTTTGGTCTGTTAAGTAATTCATTATAAATAAAAAAAAACTATTTTACTTTTATTCAAGTTTTATAAATCCATCAACATTTTCAATTGGCATTTAATATGTAAAACTCCACTATAAAAATAATCCATGTAAAATTGTAAATGTATATGTACTAATATGGAAAAAATAAAGGATTTTCAGTATTATATGCATATTATTTGGAATGCACTTTTTGAGGCAGACAATCTTGGAAAGGAGGGGGGAATGACATTCTGACATATGGTGAAAGGGGTGCATGGGGCAAACAAGGTTGAGAACCACTGCATTAGATGTTTATAAAGGCATCAAGGGGGTAGAAACTTTGCTTATAGCTGGATATCGAGAAACTCAGGGCTCCTTGTAACTGGGCTTCATTATTGAAATACAAATCAAAAGTAATCAATGAAGAATTAATTTAATTTACTCTATCTTACACGTACTGTTACTTGCACATACAGAGAAGGAGTGAACCATCACGTTCGACAGACCGTGGCTGTTCCTGGTAATTGGTGAAAATATTGACGAATCTGTTTTTTAAGGTCTCAAAGTGTTAGCTAGTGTTAGCTATTTTTTGAGGCTCACAGGGTGTAACTTGCCGGTGTCGGTGACTAAAAGTTATTATCAATACTTGTCAAAATATTTACGCTATGAACGGCTACCGTAATATAGTAAAAGTAACTCTATTTCGATGTAAACATGAAAGCTATTGATAATAATCGCATTGTTTAACTATATTACGCTATGGGTTAATTATAAAACCATAAACTTATCAATTCCTGGAACTAGTGTGTGCTCAAAAAGGGTTAAATTAATTTTTATAAGCGCTGTAAAATTGGCGTTACACAAATTTTTATTTGGAGGGATTCAAAGGGGAATAAAGTCCTTGATTATTAACATAATGATAGAGAATATGACTAATATTCAGTATATATACAGTATATATATTGGATTTTTCACTTCAGTTGAGATATACTATATTATATGAATAATAGTTGCACATTCAATGACTTAATTGGTGTTTCACGGCTGATTGCGCCCAAAAGCTTGAAATACCGATTTACGATAACCTGACCTGGTGAAAGTTCCTGCAGCTTTCCCTAAAGTTGACTCTACACTCTTGTTGTTTATAAATTAAAACTCTGAGTTTATTTGAGGTTATCTATCTATCTATCTATCTATCTATCTATATCTATCTATCTATCTATCTATCTATCTATCTATCTATCTATCTATCTATCTATCTGTGTGTCTGTCTGTCTGTCTGTCTGTCTGTGTCTGTCTGTCTGTCTGTCTGTCTGTCTGTCTGTCTGTTTATCTGTCTGTCTGTCTAAGAGAAGAGTTAAGAGAACGATGAAGTTAATTTTCTGCTAACTCAAGAAAAGTTCCCCGAGTGTTGAAGACATAACTGGTCTCTTCAACCTCTTAGTAACATGATAATCCACCCAGGTGTTTGTTCCACCACCGTCAATCACTACCATTTACCGCTGAAGACACCAGGGCTACTGCACAATGAGGTATTACAATCCCCCATTCAAATCGGAAATTGAACCCCTGACCTCTCATTTGTGCATTGAACGTTCGACCAATTGACCAATGGAGCCTTCACACACACACACACACACACACACACACACACACACACACACAACAAGTAAATAATTCAAATACAATCATACAATAAAAGGCACAGAATCATCTTCTTTAAGCTACTACAGTCAGAAATATTTCAAGCTTCCCTCCCACAAAAAAAAAAAAAACGAGAAGGCGAAAGCAAACAGCGGCGAAAAATACAAACAGAAAGTGGTAACAAATTTCCGGGTGGAGAATACATCACCCTAACATTTTTGTTTTGTTTCTGTTCTAGAAAATACTGAAGTAAATCTGGATA